AGGTGCAGACAGTGTTCAGCGGCATATGATGGGCTAGAGCCTTGGACCTTCAAATTCACGCTAGATCACGACCGGCCCATTTTTAAACGAGTACAAAAAGGTCACATGGTCAGTCATACTGACTGAGCCCGTACTGAAAGTATTAAAGTGAGTTCCCAGTTAAATAGAGAAAAGGAAAATAATTTGTTTTGTCAAAGGGTGTTATAAAGTAATTGAACCCGTCTGTGTGGACTATAGATGAAAAGAAGACAATTATTTGAAGTTACAGATACAACTGTTGTAACCCATGGGGTAGTGTAAGTGAAATATTCAGTGATATTATTGTGATAAGAGTAGAGAAAAATAGTTTGTCTTGTCATATGGATTCTGAAATAATTGAATCAGCTTAAGTGGACTTTTGACAAGAAAAGAGAATTATTTAGAGCTTTAGATACCACTGTGATATTACATAGTGTAAAGAATTTTTGTCCATACGTTTGACTTGTTTTGAATATATATATTATTTTAAAACAAGTGGATTGTGTGCTGTCCATTTATACTTTGCATTTATCATCAACAAGTCACATACACCTACTGTAGAAGAATCCTCAGTCCACACATACATAATACCCTGACATTTGGAGAGCCAGCCAGGATCATACAGAGGTCAATGGCAGTAGAAGAAGACGTGAATGACAGCAGAAATAAGTAGGCTTATATATGCACAATGGTCGTGGTGGCAATTGATGTTGTATCTGCAGTTACCACTAGAGCTCAAGGGAAGAAAATAGAGCAATATATCAAGCCTTTATAAGTATCAAAGAAAGACATCCTGAATGTAATTTTTTGGTGAAACTGAATAAAGTGCAGAAGAAAAACCCGTCACTGCAGAAACTATGGGACAATGCCCGAGAGAAAGTGGAGCTAAAGAAAAAATGGAAACAGACTTACAAAACAGAAGATCATAAAGGATTATTGAGCCTATCAAAACAGTTCTACTACCTACAGCCAACAAGAAACTCACCCTGCAGTGGAAAGGACCTTTTGCAGTACACGAAATGGTCAACAGAGTACACTATAAGGTGAAGGAGGCTGGGAAAACCAAGGTCTACCATGCCAATCTGTTGAAGAGGTATTTTGAAGGGGAAAAAGACCTTATGAGTGCAGCTACTGAGGTACAGGTGCACATGGAAGGTGTAGCTGTCATAGAAGCAGAATCTAAAGACAGTGACTTCATTATCGAAAATAATGACCTACTAGGCCTAAGATCACTGTGTGGAGATAAGATGTACAAGGACATCAGCATAAGTGAAGAAGGAGAAAGAGGTACAAGACCTACTGTGTCAGTATACAGACAGATTAACAAGATCAAGACAAAGACAGGGGATCCTCTCAAGGTGAAGCCCTATCTGGATTCTAAGGTAATTGAATCAGCCTAAGTGGATTTTTGACAAGAAAAGAGAATTACTTAAGAGTTTTGGATACAACTGTGATATTACATAGTGTAAAGAATTTTGTACATTCGTTTGACTTGTTTTGAATATATTATTTTATAAGAAGTGGATTGTGTGCTGTTCATTTGTTTTTCAAATTTATCACCAACAAGTCACAGACACCTACTAGAATAATCCCAGCCCAACATACACATTTATGTATACACAACCTGACAGCAGCTGAAGTAGAAAATTGCCAAATGTTTAGGTGTTACCATACTTTGACACAATTCCCAGAACTTTCCCTGCCTCCAAAACACAGTTGGGTAGAATTTATCAACTTGTTGAGGGAAAATGGTTACAATGAGATTTGTCAAAATATTATAAAATGTTTATGCTATGGCTTTGTAGAAAGCCTCGGCCTATTCAATAAACTTGGTAGGTATTTGAATGTTGGTCGATAAGTGGACTTTTCCTACAGAGTCTATTCAAATTTCTGCTCTGAAAACACAGCACGGTAGGATTTATTGGCTTGTTTACACAGTACAGTAGTGGCAACAAGAACTGTCTAAAGTACCATGTATAAAAGTGAGAGAAAATATTTATGATATGGCTCTTTACAAAGTTGTATCCTATTCAATAAACTTGGGTGGTTCGGATTTAGTGGTGGTATAGGCATGAAAGTGATTATGAACATCTTGTTTCCTACTTTACCACACTTACACAGTAACCAATAAACGCATAGTTTCCAATATCCGGTAAGGTACAGTGAGGGTTTGGTTACCATATGTTACGTATGCGTGTATGTATATATATATTTTTACTATTTACAAAAAATATTTAAACTTTTCTTAAAACACAAAACAGTAACAACGATCTCCACTACTTACAATGTTTTGAAGTTCTTTTTTGCACCCGCAAGTCATACTTGCTAACCCTCATCGTAAGCCTTGTCCAAATTCACATGTGGTTGTAGAAAATATATAAATGACTATACTGATACCACAAAAATTGATGGTAGTTTACTAGGCTTCCTAACTCTTATTATATTTGGATCTAAAAAATTAATTTCTGTTTGGAAAATAGCATTGGTCATAATACTTAAAATTCTCCAACGATATGAGAGCTTTTCTCTCATGTATAACTTAGAAAGTCTAACAGAATTACATAGAGGAAATGTAGAACTTTCGATTGGTTATAAACTTATAGGTGTAGAAAAGCAGGCGTAGATAAACAAGTCTTTTCAAATTATGAAGTGGTGGGTTAAGCCAATATGGCAGATTTGATAAATATTGATATCTGAGCAAATAGAAAAGGTAGGAGGTTCTTATTTTATATTATAGCTTACCAATATCAGAAATTTGAGTTTATAATTTGCATGAAACTATAGACATTGTATTGTGGGAGTCATAAAATGTAATCTGACCAAACCCAGAAGATGGTGTACATTTACTTTCAAATTAAGAAATTAATGTATAATACTAAAATTTGAATTATAATTTACAACTTCATACCAAGTTTATTGACATACTTTCATAAAATATTAGATCTATCAATAAAATTTTGAATGTAAGTCTACAAACATGATGACATGACCTTTGAACCCTACAGGTCTCGATAGGGTTTATGTATGAAACTGGTGTTGTGTTGATCCACTTTTGTAAAATACAGAGAAAACTTTTTTGTTTTTGTTGTTATTAGTTAGAAAAATAATAAGCCAAGTATGGCAATGGTGCATATGCCTAATGATGACCTTGAAGAATAGTGGATGATATCCTTATGTTGGATTAAAAACAAAATGGGATGTGTCCCAAAAGTACAGTTGATTAAAATAGAATATAACATGAATGATAGTTCTAACTTAAAGTTTAAATGTTAGTAATGTTCTTTCAAGATGTGAAGAAAATTAAAAAAGAAAAACTACACACTAGCAAAACAAGCTCAATCAGAAAGACTGTATCCATTTATATTGGATAATGTCAAATTTCATCTTCAAAAAGTCAGAAAATCCTTCTCAGATTCAGAATGATCAATGATATGGATCATTTTTTGTAGTATGATGAGGAGTCTCTTAACCACATTGCAATGGGTATCCTTTACTGTGTATGTAATAAGGTTTTAGTGACTTGCATTCAAAATTTTATTAATCTATTTTTAGTTTATGTTATACCAATTAGTATAACATAAAATCTTAGCTAAAAATCGACATTTTAATAGTATATGAGTTTTAAGTTCTTAATTTTATAAAGAAATATTTTCAAAAATCCTGAATTTTATCTAGTGTGACATTTTTCTAGGCATCTCCTCTTCTCTGTTTTATACATCACCCCTCCAATAATATGAAATTAAACATAAATTACTCACTAAAAACTCTTCATTGCTCAGACAATCCATAACTTTTATAGCCTTCAATTTTTGTTTGGTTACAGAGCCATCAAATAGAAAATCAGACCCCTTTTGCCACACCCACCTGTCACATCCTCTCTTTCAGGATTTGTTAACCCTTTCGAGATGGGTCACAGGTTAAAGGCCATGTCATCTTGTTTGTTGATTCGCATTCAAAAATATATTGAACTACAATTTCATGAATTTATGCCAATAAGTTTGGTATCAAACTGTAGATTATAATTCCTATTTTAGAACTATACATTACTCAACTTTAAGTAAATATTAAAAAACACAGATAAACATTTATTTTTGTGTGTCACACGGTACGTTGAATGCAGCTCTGGTTCAGATTAGATGTTAGCGAAGTCAAAATACTAAGTCTATAGTTTCATACAAATTAGAAATTCAAATTACAGATATTGACAAGCTAGAATATAAAATAAGAAAGTTTTTATCTTCTATTTGCTAAGACCCTGGGACCAACCTCGTAACCATTTTGTGCTTATTACAGTTTTCATGTTATAATTTTTAAATTAGTAAGCGAATATTAACAAAATTTGGCAGTTTATAAGTAAACATTACAATGCTTTCATACGCAAAATATCCATTTTCAAAATATTTTGATGCATAAAAGTATTTTTAATCTTAAGATGAAAATTACTTTGCATGATAGATAGGCAAGATATGAAAAGAAAAAAAAGGCATGAGAGAAACATTGTTTTACAAACCTAAATTCAGGGAGGACTGTCCCATACTGGCTTCCTGTCTTGTGTACATTTTTGTGTAGATTGGTTTATTAGACAGACACATACGCATGGACTCGATTGCAATACCCTCATACACCCCCCCCCCCTCCAGGGGCGAGGGTAAAAAAGGTTAAGATCATAAGTGCAAAAATTCCAGTAAATCTAATGACAAAAAATGTCTGGTGATAAGCAGTTCGGAAAGAATGAACATTCGTTCACACGCTAGTGCTAATGGGGATTACTGTGCATGGAGGATGTGTTGTCCTCTGATTGGTGGAGGGCTATAATCTAACAATAACTATATCACAGGCTGGTGAAATACATGTTGACATGCATAGTGCATAGGGGTGAGATCTTTAATCAAACTTTTCGCATGCACAGGAAGTTACAAGGTAACTGCTATTCGTAGTGAAGAGATAAGAAGCATTTCTAAATATGTAAAATACACACAAACCTGGACTAATGGTTGCTCTGGATTCAAGTACACTCCAGGGTTCTTCTCCAGTAAAGACTTTGAAAACCCTGTCTGTCCTGTAACTGGTTGATTGGAAACATGAAGAGCAGTCGATATACTCCTCAATAGAGTTTCTTCATTTAAGTCAGGTCCTACACCTACAAAGAGGTCAATAAATGATTTTTAAACACATTAAATTGTTTAAGTTTTCATATTACAAGAATAGGCACTTGGATACTGAGTGCTACTAAACTGGTAGACCAGACGATTGCCTTATAACCTATTATATATACAAAAAATATTATAATAATATTGGTTCTGCACACATCTTGTTAATATCTTATAAGGTAGTAAAAGTATAATGAAACAGTCCAATTTCAGAAGTTTAATACATTAAGAAAAAAGCTAACAAAGCTTCTACTTCACTCTTGCCACACTTTCAGTCTGATTTTCTACACAGTAAAACAAATTACATTTTTCTTAATTATTTAAAAAGCCTACATTCTGTACTCTAAATGTTATATTTTATCCCATAAATAGATATAAAGTAAAATAGCTAAATACCTTTCATACTCATAGGTAATTCAAAATGTATAAAAGATTCTTCCTTTCTGTCACAAGCTTGTAAACCTTCCAGTCTTTTCTCCCAAAAAAGCTACAGTAAGAGAAATAAAACATTATTTCGAACAAATCTTACAATCCATCTTTTTCATCTTGTCCTTACAAAAAAAAGGAAGTTTATACACTGACTACACATTTAATTAGAACCTCCCATAATCTTTCCCGGAACACTTCATTTAACTGCATATGCAAAATAGACTGATAGATGACTGAGACCTACAAATACAGAAATGTACAATGTGGTCTTATCATGATTGGTCCTCAATTCCATGAAGATCAAATCTCTGAGTTTTAAAGGATTATGTTAGTTGGTGCTCATCTACCGGTGGGTTCATTATCAAAAACTGTTTCTTTAACCAACTTCCCTAAACACTGTCCAATAATATCAAAAGAAGTAATCATAAGAAAATACACCTATCACTACAAATATATGGCTACCAAATGTTACTGTTAAACCAAGGAAAAGGACAACAGACTGTCTCATTTGACTAATCTTTCTAACATTTGCCAAAATTCAACTATCTTCAACTGTACCATGCTAAGGTCTTTTATAAAATGTTATAAAACAGCCAAAATCAATAACAAGCCTAAAAGCCATATATTCAATGTGCAAACAAGAAAACATTAATTCAGTGGTGCTTAGAGAATAAAATTTCTTTTTGATTCATACATCTCATTCATTATCAAAGTTATTTATATCAGCAGTTCAGTCCCATTCTTATTCTAGATTATTGAAAAATTACCAGCACAAAGCTCTAGATATTCTTTTATACACTAATATATACATTAAGTGGTTCTGTTGATCCTACATAATCTCATTCACATCAGGAACAAACACTGTCTTTATAACTGTCTTTACCCATAAATGGGAAACTGAAGTAGCATGTCAGTTTAGGTACATCATAACTTTTTACAAGGGATGTTGGTTGGTTGGATGTCATTTTTGGTGCTACCTGCACCTACGAGGGATGTTGGTTGGTTGGATGTCATTTTTTGGTGCTACCTGCACCTACAAGGGATGTTGGTTGGTTGGATGTCATTTTTTGGTGCTACCTGCACCTACAAGGGATGTTGGTTGGTTGGATGTCATTTTTTGGTGCTACCTGCACCTA